AACAACTTGGAACTTTGCGCACGTTCTATTCTTGTAGTTGATATCATACTCGCTTATTTCGACGGCCCATTTTGCTATTCGGCCGAATTGGCTTGGGCATTGCAAAATTGTTCAGAGTGGATGATTCGACAGGACGGTGATGGAGTAGGACTGGAAATAAGGTCGCAACTTTCAAGCTGCAGTGACCATGGCGAGGGCTACCTTATTTCTGGGTCATCGTGTGATTTGATAACGTAGAAGATAAGTTTCTGCTCACCACAATCCTCTTTAACCAGGACACCATTGACTGCTCAGTGGGAGACTGCAACGTAAAGATATAATGTCTCTCCGAATTTGGGCTTGGCCAGCACTGGCGGGGTGGACAAATATTGCTTGAGTTGTCCAAAGGCTGCTTCACATTTATCATCCCATTCGAACGTTTTGCTTCCCCAGAGAAGTTGGTAGAAGGATAGGCATATGTCCGTCGATCAGGCGATAAATCTTCCAAGGGCGGCGATTCTACCCGCCAAGCGTTGCACTTCTCGGGTATTCTTCGGGGAGGGGAGTGCTAGACTGCAGCGATCTTTTTTGGGTTGGCCTCGATTCCTCGTTTGGTGACGAGATAGCCTAGACATTCTCCTGTTTTTACGGAGAACGAACACTTAGCTGGGTTTAGCTTCATACCGTACTCATTAAGGCTTTTGAAGCATCATGCGAGTTGGTTGATATGATCGTCGGTGTTGATTAATTTGACAAGCATGTCGTCAATATAAACTTCCATGATGTCCCCCAGTTGCTCGGCAAACATCTGGTTGACTAGATGCTGGTACGTAGCTCCTGCGTTTTTCAATCCAAAGGGCATGACCTTGTAGCAGTATGTCCCTCGCTCCATTATGATAGAGATTGTTGGGATGCATCATAATTTGGTTGTAACCTGAAAAGGCATAAATGATAAGAGTTTGATCACGGTTGTTGCATAAAATGGAACCTGTCTTTGGAGCACGCCTTGTTGAGGTCGGTAAAGTCAATGCAAACTCTCCATTTGTCGTTCTTCTTTTTGACGACCACAGGATTGGCCAACCATTCTGGGTATCAAACTTCCATGATGGATCATGCTTTGGACAGTCGTTCTACCTCGTTGTTGACTGCTTACGCCCTTTCTGGGCTGAGTTTGCGTCGCTTTTGTTTGATCAGTTTGTTGGTCAAATCAACTTGCAGCTAGTGCTGAACGAGGGATGGCGAGATGCCTTTCATGTCTTCGGTCGTCCAAGTGATCGTTGAGACGTTTTGACGGATGAATTCGACGAGCCGGTCGTGCAGGTCATCGCTTATTTTGGTACCGATGCCGACGCACTGCTCACGATCGCGCAGGTCGATATTCACCTATGTAACGCTTTCTCGTTGCTGATCGTCGGGAGATGGAAGCTCATTCCTAATGTTTCTCACAACAAGACATGTTTGTGCCGCCTTTCTGATCTTATGTTCTGTAATAAAGCATGTTCTTGCTAACCGCTGATTTCTCCAAACTGTAAAGATGTCGTCTGATCTCGAAAATTTAAGGCATTGCTGATAGATGGACGACACTGCCTACATTTCGTGCAACCATGGTGTCCCTAAAATCACGTTGTCAATCGCCAGTTTGTTAATGATTACGAACTTGACTATCTTGGTGACTCGCCCAACGTATACTAGTAGTTTGAGGGGGCCGACAGTCATTGTTTGGTCGCTGGTAAATCCGGTCAGTGGTTTTACGCTGGCTTTGAATTTGTAACCTTGCATATCCATCCGTTGCAGAGTTTCCTTACAAATAAATCCACGGTGCTTCCCGTGTCAATCAGGATCCTTGATACTTCGCGATCTTTAATTCTTGGTTCGATGACCAGAGGGTCATTGTGCGGCGTGTGGAGTCCCTCGGTGTCAGTTTCGTCAAAAGATACCTCGATGCCGATTTTGAGTTCATCATTAGGGTTTCGTCTCCAGACTGGACCGCGATGGATTTTCTTTCGTACAAAAAATTTCATTATTTTAATGAATTAGAATCTTAGAATATATATATATATATATATATTATTTGTTATTTATTAATGGTGTTTACCTTGATGGTTTGATAATACTGTTGTATCCACCACCTCATTACCGGCATATCGATGCATCTATATATGATCATCCACACAGCTATATACATCTATACCATTGTATCCATATATGACTATCTACAGTACATAGTCCATCATATCAGTGTTTCGTTCATATCATATTATTCATAGCACATCATCCAATATAAGATGGATACATAATATGGATCTTTACTGTATCCATATAAGGTTTTTATGAATGTTTTCGAAAAAGCTAGCTAATGTCCAACTAGTATGACATGGAGAAATTGATTGGACAAATTTGTGTAAATTGTTGATAAATTTTAGAAAGCACAAAATAAGCTAGCTAGTGAAGATAAATTTACTAAATTCAATGTTATAGTTACAATCATTCTCAAAATCAATAAAAAGGACAAAATCTTAATCATTAATTCATATTCAGATTACATAATGGAAAAATCTATGAGATCTGCTCGAAAGATCAAAAGCTCAATATTTACAGCCTCTTGTCCACGACATGATGTCCATGAGTTCATGTGTAGTGGATCATTTTTGCAACCTCTTGTCCACAACATGATGTCCATGAGTTCATGTCCATGAACTAATGTCTACAACTTCATGTTTAAAATAATATGTTATCTCTGCAAATTCCTGCAAATTAACAGTGTTTCCAGTTTCATTAAATCAAACCCGGAAATAAATTAGGATATGGAATATATGTGATCAGATAATGTCATATCAACAGCGTAACCTATCCACAAACATACAAACCAACAACATCATGTCCACACCACTATATTCACGCCGCTTTGTCCACCAAGAAGCAAGCTATCCCCTACGCTGAAGAGCAAAAACATATGACTAAGTAATGACCATCAGTTAGTGTCCACTAAATCGTGTTCACCTACTATAGAAAATAGTGTTGTGTCCATCAAAATAAGCTAGTTACAAAAAAAAACTTAACGACTTATCAAACTATTTGGTGGACAATCTATCATGGATATGTAACAAATATGAAAGCATAAACACAACATCTATGGAGCATCCATCATGGTTGTGTGCCGTTAAATTCATGAATACACAAGCACTGAATAGACAGTTCATGAACGGTGGAAGTGAAATTTATTGAACTTTAGTGGACACAAAAATGGAATTTAATTACCTTTCATATCGAGAAAGAAGAAGAAGATGAAAACGGTGTTAAAAGAAAAAGATAGATCTGGTATGCTAGGTTGTGTCTTTAATCGAAACAAATTGCGAGTCAAGCTGGAGCTGCCAAGAACAAACATCATCAATGGAGATGGAATCATCAGGTTTAAGCACCAGCAGCGGAGATGAAGCCATTAGTCTTAGTGGCAGTGACCTAAAGAATTTATAATGTCCATAGAGAGTAGTTTTTTTTTCTATTGCCGTAAAATATTTGTTATCTATTAGTTGTAATTTGTGTGAAGGGTATTATTATCTTTTTATGTAAAGAAAGTGTGTTAAAAACTGAAAGTGTGTTAGTTTATAAAAGAAAATAAAAATAGTATGTATGAATGTAAAAAACTCAACCATCTACTTAAACTTCTTCAACTTGTCCGACTTAATGCTAGTAGTTTTGAATCACTAAAACGTAATTACAAAGAAGAGCATTTTGTCCAACTAGGGTGCTTTCTTTCTTTTTTCCTTTGTTTTTTTATATGTGTTTTCTCCATTATACCTTTGATATTATTTAGATATTACAATTTATTATTCTTCAATTAAGATATTTATTTTTCCACAATAAAAAAAAATAAAAGACTCCTACACCAATAAAAAAAACAATGAGCAGACATGGAGATAATCAGAGCCTAAAATTTTGCATCAAACTCGTGGAAGGCAATATTCGTGGATTGAGGTTCATTTACGATAAATCTTCCATGGATGAGAGTTCATGAATACAATCGATTTAGTCACACAAATACATCCATCCATAGATGACAATTTGTGGATGGCCATATATGGTATCCACGATATAAACACTAAACACACATGGATGATATTGTGTGGATGTTTAATTGACTCGTTATCGGAGTTTAGTTTCAGTTTCTATCAACTATGAATGGACATATAAGGTATACTTCAAATGGACTCTCTTGTATACACGTCCATAAACATATATCCACGCGAATACTAAACCTTTGAATTCAAATGTATACCCTTCCATGGATAAAATTTTGTGGATGCAATCGATTTAATCATTTAAAATATATCTATGGATGATAGTTCGTGGATGACTAATCTTTGAATTCAAATGTAACTCTTCCATGGATAAAATTTCGTGGATGCAATCGATTTAATCATTCAAAATATATTTATGGATGATAGTTCGTGGATGGTCATATATAGTATCCACATCCATATATGCATGAACCAGTTAATGCTATAATTTAAACAGCAAAAAAGGAAAATAGAAAAAAAAGAAAAAGAGAAGAAGAGAAGGAGAAAAAGAAAAAGAGAAGAGAAAGAGAAGGAAAAAAAAAAAAAGAAAAGGCCAAGAAGGAAGAAAGAGAAAAAGAGAAGAAAGATAAAAAGAGTAGAGAGAAAAAAGAGAAAAGAAGAAAGAAGAGAAAAAAAGAGAAGAAAGAAAAAAATGTAAAGAAGAAGAAAATAGGAGAAATGATAGTATAAACTTTTTAGAGAGATAAAAGAGAAAAGAAGAAGGAAGAGAAAAAAAAAAAAAAAAAAAAAAAATGTAAAGAAAAAGAAAATAGAAGAAATGATAGTATAAACTTTTTACATCAAAAAAGTACTCTAGGTGAGATAAGTGTTCTTTTATGTAAAAAGGGTTGAAAATTTGCCTTATTAGGTAAATGTCTCAGAAACTAAATGAGAATCTGTTCCACCTTCGTTTTCGATCCCCCAGTTAAAATTCAATTGTTTATTGTTTTACTTGTGCCACATGTAGCTTTTACGTAATTTTATTTATTTAAACTGTAGTTTAGGTATTAATAAAAATGAAAAAGGAATATATTTATTTTCGGTTGAGGATCTCTCTCGAGCATCATCATCGACCATCGCTATTTTCCGATTAGATTCATAGATGAACGGCGCATTAGGTAACTCGTCCGCCTCCGTGAGCGGCGACGGAAACGGCGGCGGAGAAGGAGCTGGAGGACCGGCGCCTTTCTTGGTAAAAACGTACGAGATGGTAGACGATTCGTCGACGGACCAGATTGTCTCCTGGAGCTCCACCAACAACAGCTTCATCGTTTGGAACCACGCGGAGTTTTCACGCCTCCTTCTTCCGACTTACTTCAAGCACAATAACTTCTCTTCCTTCATCCGTCAGCTCAATACATATGTGAGTCATTTCTCGATTTCGATCCCAATTCACTTCTTCTCTCCCATGTTTTGATTGACCTAATTTCAATTCCTCATCGTTCAAATCGAAGTTATGAAATTAGAGTACTCCGATTTTTGATGTTCATAGCTTCGCAATTTCTTCATTAATTTCATTTTAGAACGAATCTAGGCCTGTGTGATTGGTTATAGGCTGAATCATGGATTCAGGAACAACATTTAACTCTGCCTAAGAAATTCAATAAGAAGGTGAAAATGTAGTGAATGTTGTTCTTGTGATTATGTTGATAGGGATTCAGGAAGATTGATCCAGAGAGATGGGAATTTTCAAATGATGATTTCATTAAAGATCAGAAGCATCTTCTCAAAAATATACACAGACGGAAACCTATACACAGCCACAGTCACCCACCTCCTTCCTCTTCCGCAGATCTCGAAAGAGCGACGCTGCAAGAGCAGATGGACAAGCTCTCTCGCGAAAAAGCCGCCATCGAAGCTAAGCTTCTCAAGTTCAAGCAGCAGAAATCCACGGCGAAGCATCAGCTAGAGGAAATGAGTGAGCATGTCGACGATATGGAGAAGAGGCAGAAGAAGCTTCTTCAGTTCCTGGAAACAGCGATTCGGAATCCTGCTTTCATCAAGAACTTTGGCCGTAAAGTCGAGGAATTGGATATTTCGGCTTACAACAAAAAGCGAAGGCTTCCTCAAGTGGTTGACCAATCAAAGCCACCTTCAGAAGATTCTCATCTTGATAACAGCAGTGGTAGCTCGAGACCAGAGTCTGGAAACGTTTTCCATCATAATTTCTCGAGTAAATTGCGATTAGAGCTTTCTCCGGCGGTTTCAGATATGAACATGGTTTCACACAGTATACAAAGCTCCAACGAAGAAGGACCTAGCCCTAAAGGATTACTATCAGGAAGTGATCCAAAAGCTACACAAACAAGAAGAGAAGCCTTACCGTTTGCAACTGAAGCACTAGAGCTCGCGGATACAGGATCATGCCCGAGGAGATTACTGTTAAACGACAACACAAGAGCAGAGACCTTGCACCAGAGGATAACTTCTTCAGAGGAGACTGATGGTAGCTTCTCGTGTCACTTAAACCTAACTCTGGCTTCTGCTCCATTACCGGAGAAGACAGCTTCACAGATAGCTAAGACAACTCTTAAAAGTCAGGAGATTGGAAGATGTACGGAGCTAAACTTCAACTCTATAGAGACAAGCGCAAGCGAGAGAAACCGGAGTCATCAACAAGAGGTTGTGGTTGGAGGTAAACAAGCAAACGCAGCTCCTCCGGCTAGAGTGAACGATGTATTCTGGGAACAGTTCTTAACGGAGAGGCCAGGGTCTTCGGATAACGAAGAGGCGAGTTCTACTTATAGAGCAAATCCATATGAAGAGCAAGAGGAGAGAAGAAACGGGCATATGATGTCACGTAATACAAAGAATATCGAGCAGCTGACTTTATAAAGTAACTAAAACGGTAATACATACTTAAACCTACTCCTTCAAGATGATTTTCTTATACTGATTTGTTAGATTTCTCGAGACTTGCATGATGTTAAGTTACAATTTGGTTGTTTAGCTAGAGATTGTTCGACAAATTCTTGTTATCAGAACTTGCATTTGCATCTCTTTTCTGTTTGGAGACCATTACGCATTGGTTAGGAACATGTAACGCCATACTAATTGAAACTTAGCAGAATGTTATCGTAGTAATATGGTGGCAGAGAATTTACCCATTTTGTGTTTTTTCAGGTAATATTAACTGAGTATGGTCTGTGGATTTGGTATTTTTTATGGCTGAGTAAAGTAAATGAAAAACATTGGGACTGAAACAGGGTCCAAACCGTAAGTAGCCTTGTTGTAGTTGTAAACTGTTGTTTTTTTTCTTTATACACATGTAATTGACTGTAAATTTAAGTGCATAGGATTTAAATTGAATAAGCAGCTTTCTTTTCTTCTTTCCCTGGGTTATTTTGGTTAGAGAATATATAGCCATACTGTTTTATGAATTAAGCAAGTAACAAATGTTTACCCCTATCGGACAAAAATAACCTCAACAAGAAAAAATTTGCTGATGTAATTCTATTGAAAACACATCTTTTTCCATGTCGGGTTTGAAAACATTAGTGCCGAGAGGTATCAAATTCGAGTTTGTCTTGAAGACAAATTAATATTTTGTGGTCTTTGATCCAAAGTTCAAATATACAGGTCTAAAAGTATGAAAAGTTTTGTAACGTAGGTTATAAAATCATTTCGAAAGTTTTGTGCCAACGGTTGTGTAAACTTCTATCCAGACTGATATCTGAGACACAATCAGTTTTTTGTTTCCGATTGACTTATTTTGGATAATATTTTGATTGTGCTGAAAATATTTTATGGTTTACGAACTAATAACTCCTGCAAAAAAGATTGTATGGCAGTGAAAAACGGATATGAATAAAGCCTATGATAGAGTTGAATGGAGTTTTATTGAACACTTACTTCGAAGATATGATTCGTTGAAAAATGGATTACATGGATGATGTGGTGTATTCAATCTGTCCAATATAAGGTTCTCATTAATGGTTATCCAAGGGGACATATTATTCCAAACCAGAGGCTCAGACATGGGATCCTTTATCTCCATATCCTTTTATATTATGCACAGAAGTTCTCATCTCAAATATAAAAAAGCAGAAAATGACTATTTTCGAGGTAACAAATAAATTTTGACAAATATTCGGTTCAGTTCGGACATAAAGTGGATACCATTACAAGGAACATGGCGCAAACTACCTTAGGAATTTCCAATCTCGGGGACATGGAAACTTATTTGGGTATCCCAGAAAGTATTGGAGGGGCAAAATCGAAGATTTTTAACTTTCTTTTAGAAAGACAACAAGAAAGGTTAATAGTTGGACATCTAGATTATTGTCAAAAGGAGGTAAGAAGATTCTTATTAAATCAGTGGCAACATCTAGACGTACCTGATGCCATGCTTTCGACGACCAAAGGTTTTAACCTCAAAATTAACAAATATGGTGGCAAAGTTTTGGTGGAGTCGCAATGGACAAACATGAGGCATGCATTGGTTATCATTGGATAAATTATGTAGGCCCAAGATGGAAGGTGGTATAGGTTTCCGAGTTATTGAAGATTTCAATACCGCGCTCTTTGCTAAACAGATCTGGCGACTTCTTGACTACTTGGAATCCCTGTTCGCAAAAGTTTTTAAGGGACAGTATTATAGAAATGGAACACCACTAGGCCCAATTCGGTCATACTCAGCATCGTTTGGATGGAAAATGATATAAACTTAGAGGTTGAAGCTGATGCTCCAACGATGAGGCAAGCTCCAAGAACAAGATCAGGGACTAAGGACTTAGCTGAGCACTTTAACCGAGCTGTGGAGATTCATCACTACGCAACACTTAGAAGATGTCACTACCCAACTTAGCCAGCTGCGCATCGCCAAAGAAGCAGCTATGGTGAGGGCACGCCTAAACGAGGAAGGCATCCCTAACGAGCAAGAAAACTCCTTAAACAAGGAAGGCATTCCCAACGAGCAAGAAGACTTCCAAGCTAGTCAAGAAGACGGTTTAAACATCATCAACGGTCCTCATATCAAAAGCATAGCTTATACACACGGATGGCCAATGATTCATGCTAGCAAAGGAGTTTCCTTATTTAGCATTACGCTACTTAAGTGAAAATGCTCATAAACCACCTAAACCAAGGTAAGTCAGAGTTCTTATTTCAATATGGTTTGTTCAACTAATAAAACTCTTTCTTTGGTTGTTTGATTCAGCTTTTAGTTCATTTAAACATTAGTATAAGGTATGTTGGCCACATTTTATTTACATTTTCGTTTTAAAGCATTGTTAGCCAAGTAGTTTAACCTAAGGGTTTTGTAATCTGTTTCAAGTCCCATAGAAGGGCAAAGCTGTTCGGACTGTTTATAAAGTCCTCTCACATCCGTGTATCTTTTTATCATATCAATAAAGAACGAAATTCTTGGCTAAGTACCAATCTCTTATTCCCTAAAGCTTTGTGCGATTCATTGCTTGAAGAGTTCTTTGTCTTATCAAGGTTTATCCCTCATAGAACCTTGTGGCGACTATCGATCCATTACTCTTTCCATCTCACGTTTTAGATCTTGCAAATAGAGTTGTACGGCTCTTTGTTTGATCCCATCTCGATCCACTTCCTTCCATAGTCCATCCATCGATTGCAAGCCGAGAGAGTTGAACAGCCAGCGGCCCAATCCCATCACCATACACGATTACTAGTTTGTAGGCGTGTGTCATCTGGTATCAGAGCCGAAAGGCTCCCTAAACAGGTGTACTCTATCCCTTTTGCATTTTGTTCATTTCTAGTTTTGTTTGTTTAACTTGTTCTTTCAGTCATCATTTCAAAAAAAAATCTATAAAAAGTTTTTGCTGTTTAAACTGTTTTGATTAGTTTTTAAAACCATAAAACCCCAAAAAAAAGTTTGTCATTATTGCATATCTCGTATTTTGATTCATTTTTACAAAAAAAAAAACTAAAATTGTTAAGTTGCTTTGTTTCTCATATACGGTTTTAAAACTCTTTCCATACTAGTCATATTTCGAGTATTGCTTGCCTTTTGTGTTTCAACTACATCTTGCTTGCATATTCATACCGTGTGGCTTTATTACTTGTGTAGAACGGTTTAATATTGCTAAGTATCAAAACTATAGCCTATAAGCTATTGTTGGCGTATTTAGTTGCATATCTTAAGAACCCATTCAACACTTGTTCTTTGAGAGTTTTGTAGGTGTACTATGGGAGAAGCAGATCAAGCTGATGTTATGAGGCAGATGCTCGATTCCATTCAAGGCATCAGTGCTAGGATGACTCAACTGGAGCAGAGAATGCCAGCACCACCCCCTGCTGGAGCCCCTAATGGTCCTAGAAACCGAGAGAGAACTCCCGTACCACAAGGAGAAAGTGAAACTGATGATGACATGCCGAGTTTGGAGGAAGATGATCCTAACCCGAGACAAAGGAGGTATCATGATCGTCATAGGAGAGACAGAGAAGATGATCAACCATGGCTTGGAGGAAAGGATATCAAGCTTACCGCACCCACATTCGCTGGAAGAGTCAACCCCGAGCCATATGTGGATTGGGAGTGAAGAATGAAGTATATCTTTGATTACTACCAATACAACGACGCCAAGAAGGTCTCCCTAGCTGCTGCACAGCTAACCGAGAATGCTCTTTCCTGGTGGGACAGAGAAGTTTCGGAGAGGAGGAGGCATAGACATGATCAAATCACCACTTGGGCGGATATGAGGTATCACTTGAGGAAGAGATATGTTCCTTCCTACTATCACCGAGAGCTACAGAAGAAGTTCAGAAAGCTTACACAAGGCACTAGATCAGTTGAGGAGTATTTTGAGGAGTTCAAGCTACTCAAGAATCGTTTGGAGACCAACGAGACGGAAGAAACACTCATGGCACAATTCATTGATGGGTTACACGATCGGATAGCAAGGAAGGTGGAGAGGACTACTTACCGAGACCTTGATGAGCTCCTACACTTGGCTGTACAAGCCGAGCAGCACGTCAAGAGGAAGTCAGCCTCTACTGCTAGAGCTAAGCCCGCTTGGAGTTCACAACCGAGGGACTTTGATAAAGGCAAAGCACCAGAAGCAGCTTCAAAGTACAAGAAGCCGGTGGTAGAGACATCTAAAGCAGCTATTGGCGAATCAAGCAAACCCTAAAACCAGCGAGCTAGAGATGTTATATGCTTCAAGTGCCAAGGGAGAGGCCATTACGCGAGAGAATGTCCAAATCAACGAGTGATGTTACTCAAAGAAGATGGCAAGTATGAATCACAAGATGAAGCCGAGGCCAAGCTTGATGATTCAGAGGAAGAAGTGACTGATTTTCCTGACGAGGGGGAGTTGCTAGTGACCCGGAGAGTTCTCAGTACCATGTTTGATCCAGAAACCATTTAAAGAGAGAACATCTTCCATATACGCTGTACCGTGAACACCAAGTATGTAGCTAAATCATAGATGGTGGTTCTTGTACTAACATGGCTAGTAAGTATCTTGTAGATAAGCTAGGTCTCAAGAAGACAAAGCACCGAGGCCCTATCGACTTAAATGGTTGAATGACGAGACTGAGCTAAAGATAGGAGAGCAATTACTAGTACCATTCAGCATTGGCAAGTATGAAGATCAAGTTCCATGTGATGTAGTTCCCATGCAGGCCGGCCACATTTTACTTGGTAGACCATGGCAGTTTGACAAGGAGACGATACACAATGGCCGCACCAACTTTTACAGCTTCTCTCACAACAAGAAGAAGCATAACCTTTCTCCACTTACACCCCAAGAAGTCTTTAACCTCCAAAAGGCTATGGACAAAGGAGCTAAGGTAAGTAAAACTAGCCTTTATGTTACTCCTAGTAATGTTTTAAAGGCTTTAGAATCCAAAACGCAGGTGCTACTCATGACCTTTAGAGAAGGGTTGTTTTCAGGTCAAGAGGAGAATGCTTTACCCGCCGAGATGAATGAGCTTTTAGAAAGGTTCAAAGATGTCTTCCCTGATGAGATACCAGCCGGTTTACCACCCATCCGAGGCATTGAGCACCAGATAGACCTTATACCCGGCGCCTCTCTACCCAACCGGCCAGCTTATAGAGTTAACCCGGAAGAAGCAAAGGAGCTAGAAGCACAAGTTCAAGATCTTATGACCAAAGGCTGCATCCGAGAGAGTTTGAGCCCTTGTGATGTACCGGTTCTACTAGTGCCGAAGAAGGACGGGTCATGGAGAATGTGCGTGGACTGCCGAGCTATAAACAACATCACCATCAAGTATAGGCACCCCATTCCCCGGCTAGACGATATGTTAGATGAGTTGAGTGGAGCTACAATCTTTTCAAAGGTTGATCTCAAGAGTGGCTACCACCAAGTCTGAATGAAAGAGGGCGACGAGTGGAAAACAGCCTTCAAGACCAAGAGAGGGCTATACGAGTGGTTAGTCATGCCTTTCGGTCTCACCAATGCACCGAGTACA